TGGCTTCACAGTGCTGTGCTTGACCCCTTGCGCCACCAGGGGGGCCCAGATTTTCCTTGTTTCAATTAAACTCACAACATATCCCAGATAAAGATAAGGAGGGCACAGATTCTTGCTTGTTTGGATGCAGTTCTTTGAAACATGAATCTACCAACTGAATTTGGGTGAGTACATTATTTTCAAAGATTGCGCCAAACATTCCCAGTTGAATTTTAAAAGGCAAGATCAAGTTGAAAAGAAGTATATATTTTCTTGGTGGTTACACACAGTGGAGGTTTTAGAATGACAAGGCCACAATCATATTACCTAAAGCAATATAGAGATTCAGTGCAAAACCACTATCAAAAATCCCAATAGCATCCTTCATAAATATAGAACAAAAATTATAAAATTTACTTGGAACTGTAGGAGACCTTGAATAATCAAACAATTTTGAACAAAAGGACAAAAATGGAGGTTTCACATTCCCTGACTTCAAACTGACCTCAGCAACAGTAACCAAAACAGCATGGTATTGGCATAAACAGACACACAGATCAATGGAACAGAACTGAAATCCCAGGAATAAACCCACGCAATGTATGGACAATTAATTTATAAGAAAGGAGCCAAGAACAAACAATGAAGCAAAAAGTGTTTCTTCAATTAATGTGGTAGGAAAACTGGACAGCACAAGCATAAGAATGAACTAGACAACTAACTCCATACACAAAACTAACTCAAAGCAGAAGACTTTCAAGATCAGATCCAAAAATCACAAAATGCTTAGAAGATAACAGGCCATATGCTCTTTGACATTGGCCTTAAAGATGTCTTTGGTGAACTCACTCCAATAGCACAAGAAATAAAAGCAAAATTAAACAAGTGGGACTACAAAATGAAAAGCTTTTGTACAACAGAAGAAACTACCATCAACACAAGAGTATGTTCTTCCTTCTAAATATAATCTCAAATTATCAGTTCACTAATATAAAATATGTAGATATAGGTAGAAGGTTGGTAAGAATATGATTACTCACCTTTATAATCTGTTGATATTAAGGCAAAATGAGGCTACCTGGTAATCATGTTGACCTCTTTATTAAAGGAAACTTCCCCCCTCCGTCTAAGGACCATAATACAGACACATGCACAATCTAATCAAAACAGACTCCACTGTTTCCAAACAATTCCAAAATGTTTACATTTTCTCATTGCTGTAAAATATAAGTAACAGACTGCTCATTTCATGGCATTCAACAAACTGAAACTATCTTTAGCCTAAGAAAAGCACAATATGAGAAAAGTAAAACTTCTCTAAAAATAAAACAAAATTCCTACTGGTATCTGGTTTATCTTACCATGAATTCCAACCAATATGAACGCATTATGAATATATCTATATAGAAATATAGAAATTGTTCAAGACAGTATTTTCATAGACATAATGATTGAGCAGTCACCATTTATATTATCTTAAGCACAAAGTCATATTGTTACTACATATTTATAGCTTACTCAGATGGTTAGATTCTAGGGACTCCTCTACTGGAACTTGGATCACATGCCAAGAGTAGTAGTTTACCCCTGAAAGGGTTCTGGCCCTGATACTGATCTGAAAAATTGGATTTCTCTTCAAAGCTTATTGGCAATTAACCAAAAACACTTCATCATCAGAACAATGTTTATTCTTTAATCCTTTCTTTCACTGTTTCCTGCCAAAATCATAAAGTGTGTGTGTGTATGTGAGAGAGAGCGAGTGAGCGAGTGCACAGTGGAGCATGCTAGGGAGTGCAGAGGTATGGCTTAAACTGTTCACCTATTCTGGGGAGTTTTCAGTGATACAAAAAGTCTTGGATTTCTTGCAATTCATCCATTTCACCCATTTGTAGTTAAACGTTTCCCTAAACATGAATATTAAGTAACAATGCTCATTACTCAAATATTTTATGAAACAATCCTCACAATTCCTATGAAGTAATAAGCAGAGAGCTGCTGTTGACGTGCACACGACTCTGGTAAGTGGTTAATATCTGGGGCCCTCAGCTAGAGCTCCCTGCTATCTCAGGCTGCCGAAGCCTGAAGGATCAACCTCAGAGCTTTCATTCACAGAAACTTAGGAAAACAAAATGCTCCAAACCACATTCTTTCTCTTAATCTCCTGAAGAGTTTTGTTTGAGAATTAACATTTAGGCAGTTGGTGACTTACAGCAGCAGAGGTGGGTCTAACTTCCCCCACCTGTGCCTCCTGGAGCGGGACTGCTGGTCTCTGAGGGGGAAGAGAGTTGAGGCAGCTGCGGACTGAGGCAGTGATGTCACCAACAAGGAATCTACTGCAAATCCCAGCACTGAGCATTTACCGCTTTTCTTGGTAAGGACAAAAGGTTATATTCTTTCTAAGAGTGTGCCTCACAAAAGTCAGCGGTACTTAAATGTACCATCGTTTTGACCACCCAGAGAGGAAACGATTGTGTTGAGGAGCTCAGAGGAGATATTAAGTTATTGATGAAGTGTCCACGAATCAGACTTGTAGCTGAAACTACAGTCTTCAAATAACAAGGAAAACTATTTGAGTTGAAACATGCTTTGGATTTAAGAAACCTCTGCCTGCCCCACATGAGGAGGATAATTGGAAACATCTGAACCTCACATGCCACTTCTCTGTTTCTGTTGCAAATCTTTGAGGGAGGAAGGCGGGCGCAGGTTTGGAGGAGCTCAGGGCTGGGGTGGGAGGGGTGCCTCTGATACAGGTGAGATTGCTTCCCGACTAGCAATCAGAGCCCGTTAGGTGGGTGTGATAGCCCGATGAGAACATGATAATAACAGATGGAGACAGCTGGAAAGAATTAAGTCATAAAATAAGTTCACTTCCATCGTGTACGTTCACGTGTCCTCACAGTCTCCTCACAACGCCGGCGACGACACAGTTTCTATAGTAACCAAGAAAAAGGCAGCACAGGCGACACAATTTAGTCAACATGTGACTCAAAGATCATTCCTAATGGTTCCAAGTGCCTTAAGGTGCTATCGACAGTTTTCCGAAAATACACAAGTCTACGCCTAAGTGTGCAAAGAATGAGGAAACAATGCCTCAGCGTGGCCTGGAGACTAGAAACTATTTAGGTTGCTGGTTACGTTGTGAATGCTGTTTCTATCATGGGGCCAGGGACCCTGTCTGGCACCCTGGGGTGCAGACCGGTATCTCCACACACACACACAGCCCCGAACCCCTAGCCACCAACCTTCAGAGACACATCCTCCTGGGACACCCTGTCCTGGCGTGATGCGCACTGGAGTCTTGTTTGCTTATAAGTTTTCTCTGGCTGTGGCTTCAGGGGGAGGACAGCCTGCCTGCATGTCCGGTCATCTCCATGACGTAATCTGCTCTTTATATCAAACCAAAAAGTATATGACAAATTATTTGGTGAGAAAATCGACGTCTTCTCAGATGCTTCAGGAGGATAAATATTTTTTCATCTTGGAACTACTAATCATATTTTACTAGAGTTTTTTTTTAAACCATTTTAACTATTTTTAAGTACACAATTCAGTGGCATTAAGCACATTCACAATGTTGTGCACCAGCATCACTATCCATTTCTAGAACTTTTTCATTAAGCTGATGCAAGATTCTATACTTGTGTCAGCAACACCACAGTGATAAAATAAACAGGAGTATTGGAGCAGGCTGTAGGATGCAGGATGCTGGGTGCAGGATGCTACTCAAGAGCAAGATACTGGTCTTTTTTTTTTTTTTTTTTTTTTTTTTTTTTTGAGGAAAAAAGGGTGGGTCAACCTGAATACTAGATTTAGGGTTTTAGGGAGGGTGAGTCTGCTGACATACTCCTGATCCCCACCCATGGCTCCAATCTTATTGACAAGGCGTTCTACTGATCAGCCCCTGGGATGCAAAGTACATCAGTCAATGCCCCCCCCCCCAGGTGGTCCTGGTCATACCTCGTGTTGTAGACCCATTGCCCTAGGGCCATCAAGTGTCCTGCTCTTGTCTAATTTGAAAGGAGCCGTGTACACCCACAATTTGTCAACAGTAAGTCCCCATCCCTACCTTTCCCTGGTCCCTAGAAAACTTTTATTATCCATTTCTATGAATTGGCTTATTCTACTACCTAGATCGATGGAGTATTAGAGTACATGTCCTATTTCTGCCTGGCTTAGTCCACCAAGCATAATAATATCTCCAAACTTTATCCACGTTGTAGCATCTACTAGAGTTTCATTTTTAATGAATAATGTGCTGTTGCAAGTGCACACCACACTTTAAACATCCATTCATCTCATGGACATGGTGGCCACCACCTTTTGGCTACTTGACTAAAGCTGCAATGAACAGGGGAGTACAGTGCATGTTTGAGTCCCCGGGCATACGACCTTAAAATTAGAGTAAGTTTAGCTTGGTGTTTAGATGTAGTAAAATGAATTCAGTGGTCACCACTGGTGGGTTGTTGAGTTATTTGGCTTTTATTTTTCTAAACATAGGAAAACGTCCTCACCTTTCTTCTTCCTCTTCACATTCCAAGACTGCACATGCCCCATCTTCCTGCGTGTGCTATATAAATACAATAGATCTGTTTAAATTAAGCAGAGCCACAGGTATAGACAGGATTTGTTTTCAGAAACTGAAGCAATCAGACATGCAAACAGGGTCAGCAATTTTTTTTAAAAAAAGATTTATTTATTTATTTATACAAGCACTGGGTACAGTCAGAAGCGCGGGAGGGTGAGAGAATTCACCAGAGCCAGAGCGGGGAGCAGAGCAGGCAGAAGGACCGAAGTACACTGCTGAGGGGAGCAGCGGGCGGCAGGAGAGGTCTGCGCGCCATGTGGGACCTGCCTCCGGTGGCCGGGGAGCAGCCGGGGATTGAACCGGCGCTGCAGAGGCCGCGGGCAGCTTCGCAAACCAGCGCTCAACCACTGCGCCACCGGGGAGGCCTCAGGGTCAGCATTTAAGAGTGCATTTCATTATTTTTTTTTGACTTCTATCTCTTGATAGATATAGAATAAGACAGCTAAAGAAAAAGGAGGGAGAATGAATGGCTTTTAAAAGGGTTGTTCCATCACATTATTTAATTAAAAGATCCTTAGCCCTTTGGTATTTCCTGTCCATGGGATGTAGTATCACAGGCAGGAAGAGGAGACTATTTTGGCTGAATCTGAGGTACCTATGGGTGGGTTTAAAAACTTCCAACTAGTTACTCCATAGAAACCTCACCTATTATTACTTCCAGTTTCGAGGAAGCTAAATTAACCCATACTTTAAGGAGACAGATTGCAAGTGTACAGAATCAGGCCTCAAGATTCAGAATCCCTGAAACACAAGGTTTTGGGAAATGCATCTGCAGACATAGCACGGGTTCTAGACCTTACAATGGGGCAGGGTAGACAAAACTGACATTCGTGATTGGGAACTTTATGTGCATTAAATGAAGACCAGTGGTTTGTTTATCACCCATGCTTTTCTTCTTGGCAGCCTAGGAAACAAGTGTTTCACTTCTCTTCTTTTTCACACCTTCTTTAAGAAATGGTTACAGTAAAGTCCCGAGGAATTCTCTTTTCTAGATGAAACCATGTTCTTGCTTGCTGCAGCTTCCTCTGTTGTATGATGGGCTGGCTGGGCCACATCCGTCATCCTTTTGATCTCTAGGCTTTTTGCTGACCTGCACAAAACAACCAAAACAGGGATTTTTTTTATGTGAAATATGTACATATTGTGAGTGTGCTGAAATGGGACAGTGATCAACAGTAGAGATGGTCACAATCTTTCCTTCCTGGGAATCTGAAATTCAGCCCTGGACGTAGCAGATCTTGAACATAATCATGGATACAGGACAGCTACAGGAGAGATGAAAATATGAAGATCCAAATGGTCTTGGACTAACCAGTTTAATGATCCATTTCTACATATTCTCACCCTTTAGTACCAAATTATCTTTTCCATTGAATATCTAAGATATGTCCTAGGTTTAAAATACATCAAGTAACATACATGAACATGTCATTGGAAAAAGCAGCTTTTTCTGCGTGTAACTAACTTGAGTCCCCTCTAGGCTCTCAGCAGGGGCCACTCCGCCTGAGACATTCTCTCTGTCCCTCTGCATGGGAAGAGGGCTGGCACGTTTGTGTTTGCATCAAGCAGTTTTCTCTGTGGCCTCCTCTGACCTAGTACAGTCAGGCATCCAGATTTAAGGTCTTTCCACTCCATCTCCCTAGCTGCCACGCAGTGGAATGGGGCGCCTGACAAACTTTGAAGAAAGGAGATTGTGGGACGCAAATATTCATGAAACTTCAACTCACTGAAGAATTTTGGCTACAGATCACTTGGAGGAGTGAGAAAGATATCAATTAAGGAGATAGAAAGAATAAACAACATTTAGGCAGAAAACACTGACACCAGAACGTTTAACCATTAAACATTCGAAATTCCTTTAGCAAGGTATCAATTTAAGTAATATTAAATATTAGCCCTTCTTTTCAGGGGGTTAAATACTGACTCTCACTCACAAAAACTGGCCCCAGAAGAGGAAATAAATCTGGCGGAATTTTGTCAGGGCCTCAAGGCAGGGTCCTTGGAGGCTGGAAGGACACCCCAGTTTGGAATATGCAGAACAGTAAGAGAAGTATAAGGAAAAGACTCATCAGCACACTAGATTAGGAGAGAGGAGTACCATACACTAGTGCTCCTGGGTATGAGAACTTTTCCCCCTTCAGTTTTATTTATTTGTCAATTGTTTACCTACCTATACTATCTTGGGGATAGATGGTTCTAAAGTTAATATTACATGTTTGCAGTTTGGGTCTTTATTCCTAGGTCCTTGAGGACAGTGCTATTGATAGGGGCCAAGTTCCATTTCTTTTTTCTTTTTTTAAAAAAATATTTATTTATCCATACAAGAACTGGGGTACAGGCCAGAGGTGCGGGAGGATGAGAGGATTCATCAGAGAGAAAGAGAGAGAGAGAGAGTGGGGAACAGAATAGGCAGATCCACTGAAATACATTGCTGAGGTGAGTAGCAGACAAGTCAGGGTATTGTCCTGGCTGGGGATCGAACTCGTGCTGCAGTGACTGCAGACAGCTTCATAGGCTGTGTCTTAAACCCTTGCACCACCAGGGAGGCCCCCGAGTTCCATTTATGCTCCTTCTCCCCTCTTAATCTACGTTCTTGAGAGTCTCTGAGCAACTCTAGTAGTGCACATGGCAGGTGGCAGATATAAGGGAAATGATCTACCCTCTCCAGAGTTCTCTAACTTGTGGAAAGTTCTATACCGGAGGCAACCTGTGGCAGCACCCACCTTTCCGGTCCATAGACACCCAACAGAACTCCCACACACTCCTTGCAAGTTACTGGGAAAAGGAACATCTGAGAGCTGTGACTCTAAGTACAGCTGTGTGGTTTTAATTAGTTGTAGCATAGAAATGTGATTAGCAGTCAAAGACGCCTGAGACTGAACTTTAATTTGCTGTGTTTGAACCAATAATTGGCATTCTGTTAAATTAGCAATTTTGGAAACAGGATCTGATTCTTTGTTGCTGGATAGAGCAGTCTTAGCATTCTCCTGTAACCAACTCTTTTTTGTCAGTGGTGGTGAATAAAAGCATCTTTTCTAGTCCTACTTCTGTGGTGCTTTTTCCTTTTTAACAAGTTTGAGGAGCAAAATAAGACAAAGATGATCTTAGTGTTTGATTGGCAGAGCGGTGTGGAAGAGCCCTGGCTTCACACTAGGATTCTCGTCTAAACTCTGCCTCTGACTATCTGTGTGCCTTTGGGAAAGTCACTTCATCTCACTGAGCTAAAGTTTCTTCAACCATAAAATGGAGATATACTATCAGCCCACCCAGCTAGGCTCAAACAAGGTAATCTGAAAATCGTGGAATGCTATACAAGTGTGTAATGTGACAAGCCTCAAGGAATGGCCACGAATACCAATGAGAACTGAATGAAGACTTTGTCTCTGAACAAGAATCTATGTGCAGACACGCCAGGCTCAGAGCTGACTGCAATAGAGAACTCATTCCTTCACAGAAGTCAAATTTTGCTCTCAGGAAAGAAGACAGCCTTAAGAGGACTAGAATTTTTCAAAACAGGGTGGGTAAAAACAAACCAACAAATCAGACCTACTAGTGAGTGTCCCCCAGAGAGGATTAATGAACAAATTTGTGACTGTTGCAGTTAAGCAAAATAACCAAGGAAGACCAGCAGAGGCTAAAAACCTGTGCCAAAATCATGTTACTCATTAAACAATGAGAGGACTCAAAACAATTTTTTTTCACCAAAAAGAATTCTTGTTTTGCTATATAATAATGTGCCAGCTCATATGCAATTATGTTCCAATTCATGCAGATTCGGGATTCAGGCTAATTCCCCTCTGTCTGTAAGGAATAAAGGGAACTGACTTGCAGAAGTGCTGGCTGCTAACGTCTGTGGCAGATTTCAGACCCCATCCTTTGCTTTTCCACTACCCCCAGGTCCAGTGGATGCAGAACTCAGAAGTCTAGGGACAGGAATTATCTCCCTGGGGCCCAAGGCTAGCCTCTCAGCAGTTCCAAGGCCCAGGTTTAGTTTTGGGGTCTGTGGTTGATCACCAGGTATATTTTGGGAAGTTGTTGGTGCAGATTTAGTTCCTTTGATCTTAAATGAAGTGGTTGGGATGAATCCCTTTATATTCCCATTGTCTTATAGAAGCTGTCCATAAAGCTTCTCAGAAAAAATAGGGAGGTGGTGGGCCTCACATTTTTAGGAAGCAGGAAGCTTAAGGGTGATGATGTTACAGAGATGGAGAGAGTAGACCTGAAGAAGAGTAGGTGACCTTCAGAAAAATAGCTGATGACGATTAGGGAAAATTTAGAGAGGGATAAGCTGAAAGAAATTGGGCAGCTGAGCAATCACAGAAAACCTGACAGGTTGGTTCACAGATGTGGGTGATTGGGGGATGAGGAAAGGTCAGCAGGCTGTGTGGAGAAGTAAAATTAAGTCATTTCTGAAAGCAGAGACCAGAATGCTAACAAATTAGGGGTTGGGTGGACATAGTAGCTTTAGTCTTAAACCAAGGGATAAATCTAAGGTTTCATAAGTCAGAAAAAGAGCAAGAAAACATATTAAATGGATAGTTCAGGAGCTTGGGGAACAAAAGTAAGTCAGGTAGAGGAGGACACTGACCAGAAAGACTCCCTGAGCAACCAAATCACGGCGTCATCAGCTCTTAGAAACCAGAAAGCCATGGAGAGCTTCCTCAATTACTGAGATGTTGATACCATCACCGAACAGATGAGGCAATGTAGGAAGTGACTGTTAAAAGACACAGGCTATTCATCAGCTGGACAGCAGAGGTCAGAATTTCTAATCTCCACGGTCTTGGAAGATACACATTGATAGAGCATCTGCAGACTCTAGCTAGAACCACTTCTGTTATACTGTTAATAATGCTGCTCACATGAATTAGAATATATTGGCAGAGTTAGTTGCAGAATTATTTTTTGAGTATTTGAAATTACTTTGGATTTCGGTCTCTCTTACCTGCTTATCAACAAGGAAAGGATGATACGGGGCAAAAAAGCAAAGATGTGATATTTCCTTGTTTCCCATTCTAGAAAATTTAATATACAACAGGGAAGACAAAAACTTATGGTTTAAAAATCACATCAATGTGTAACAAAATTAGTGACTGCAGGGTATATGAGAACAAAACATATTTTGATGGTTCTTAAAATTCTATCTGCAAATTATTTTAGTCATTATTTTTCGGCAGAAAGCAAAGGTAGTACTCACCTTTAAAGGTTGAGCTGACTGACTATTACTTTTGTAACTCAGTTTTCCTTTTTTTCTTGGTCCCTGCAAATACCAAAAAATAAATAAATAAATAAATAAATAAAATAAAAGAGAAAAGAAAAAGAAAGAGAAAGAGAAAGAAAGAAAGATAATGGGTTAGGAATTCAGTCCAATATTCTAAACATTGATCTTCTCCATCTAAGCAAATCCTGGAATAAATAACAAAAGGATTATCTTTCATGAAGGAGAAATCTAAGGTTTAGGGATAATATTTAATGGTAATTTGAACCAAGTGGTTTAAAAACCACTTGAAAAGTATTATTTGGTTTTAAGACCAACTTTTCAAGGAATCATTTTAAAAAGAAACATATTTCAAGACATAAGTCATCAAAACTGTGAGAGAAGGAATATCTATGTGGAAGGTATATTTTTAAGATATTGAGGTTTTAGAGTAATTTACTAGTATGTAAAATTCCTCAAATGCTCCCTCCACTTCCAGATGACAAAGAGTGGAAGGAAGCACAGGAATCAGGCTGCTTGAGGAGGGGTGCATGAGGAGGTGGACAGAAACAGATGCTGAACACCTGCCATTTTTGCCAACTCTATCCTGGTGACAGAGGAGGTGACAAAAAGGGTGGGCTCCCTTACATCCATACACTTAACACAGGATTGACAGTCATTTTGTTAAATACAACTTTTACATAGTAAACTAATGTATCAAACCAGAATAGAGGTAAGTGGAATGATCTCAAGTACACATTAGCTCTAGCTCAGAGATGAAAAAGAAGCAAAATAATATTCTAGGTAGAGACAACCACAAGATGCTCTGGAATTTAAAAAAAAAAAAAAAAAAAAAACAGCTGTTGGGAAAACTCAGTTCTGCCTAACCCTTTTTCTCTGTAAGCTGAAAGGAAGAATGATCAAGCTAAATTCCTAGTATTTGATTTCTAAGAAATGATATCCAGAAGTTGGTTGTGAAAATGTGACCTGAGGAAGATTAACAAAGATTCCTGGTGCCATGATTAGTGCAGTGATTTTCTTTATCAGTAATAGGTTTCTGAATCCAATGAGTCAAGATGTTATTTGGCACATCAGAGAACTTTCTAAATAGTGAGTTAAAGACCTGGCATATAAAAAGGTTGCTGAGATGTTTTCCTTCCTGAAGACAGTGGCTTAGAGAGAAGAAGAATCCAGTTCATCACCTCTCTCATCTTCTGGAGCAATTTGTTGGCATGAAACACACCTTGTAAATATTTTATGTATATTCTTCCAGACACACTAACTTGAGAATGAAGGTTGTGAAATACGCCGTGCAAACTTGTTCTTTCGCAACGTACTGTACTTTAAGATTAAAAGCATTCATAGAAAATTCCTGTCTATAATTTCTCAAAATTTAATGACAGGATTATCAGTAGTAATTCTGTGGGTGATGGTAATTTCAATTCTGCAGGTGATGGAAATTTCTTGAGTTATTTGAACCTGAAACATTTAGTACCTAGTGACTTTAATCTGAATACTTTGACTTTCTGACATGATACTTCTTACTTGTGTGAAAAAATGAACCATCAGTGACACACATTTCCATAAATGAGACTCTAATCTTTCATAACTGAAGGACAATTACTTTAATATACTCTGTTTTGTAATGTTAAAATATTTTGAAATAAAAGAGCTAGTCATGAAGTTACCCAATTGTTTTGTCACTAGGACTAAATATATTGGAATTCTTTGTATAGTTATTAAAGAAACCTTTATTCCAACTGTAAGAAGAGACGCATCAATGGTTCACACTCTCTATTCTTTTAAAAAATGTCCTGCACAATATGGTGATATTAACTCTAAATTTTCCAAAAGTCAGTAACAGAATATGTTCAGTGCCCTTGAATATGTGATATAATTTTCATTTTATAGAAAAGCTACTAAGGTTTGATGCTACTCTGTGATAAGAAAAAATTAGACAGAAATCCTTGTCATTCTGCAAAGTATTACTTGAAGCAATTATTTTCTACTCAGTCTGATTACAAGAGATCCAAGTAATTGACCTTTTCTACTCCTCAGGATAAACAGACTTTTTTGTTTAAAATTTTCTACACACCAATGCATATAATTTCTAATAGTTACATTATTGAATAATTCTTTCATATATGTGAATATATAAAAATAATATTAAATTAAAATCTACCCATAGAGATGTCACATTCAACATTTCAAATTCTCAATCTGATAAATTTAAACAATACAGTACAAATTTAAATATCAATAAACAGAACAAATCCTAATATGAAGGATACAGAGAAAAAGTTTATTTCAAACTTGTTACCAATAAGGACTGAGTAAGGTGAAAAGGATTTTTCAGGGAAAAAAATACTGTGATCCCAGACAAGTCAGGCTATTGAGCTGTGGTGAATAAATGCCGACAGACTGATTAAAGTAAAATTCCATAAATGTGGTCTTAATAAGAAGCTTACACTAATGAGATTTTGAATGTTTTACTCCTGCACAATATCATTTATGTTCTAGTTTCATTATTTCCTAATAGATGGGTTTTATAGTGTGACTCTGCAGCCCTCAGGAACAAAATAACACTACTATTATTATTATTACTAGAGAAATACCCTCAGGGGAGACCGTGGCAGCTGCAGAGTCCACAATTAAAATGAACCCCAGTAAAGGGTGCAGTGTGGATCACAGATGACGGATAGAGAGCATTGCATACCCACACTTCCGCTTAAAACAGTGCCCGTAGAACACGCTCTTCAGTCTGGTTTCTGCATTTTACTTGAGTCACAGAAGAAAACTGACAAAGGTGTCCACAATCTGGCAACTAATCTCAGCAAGAAGAAAGTGCATCCTCTGTAGGGGCAGGACGGCTGTGTAATGCCACACACACCAGTGTGCTTTGTCCTGAGGCTCTGCAGCCTTCCTGACAGCCATGCCAGCAGCTGAGCTGGGTGCCTGGCCTCTGCATCCCAACAGCTCCACATGCTACCACATTCCATCAAAAACAACTGTCTTCTTCATCAAATTTTCATTGTGAAAAATTTCAAACACACAGAAAGTCTGACAGAATACAACCAAATCTGTCTACTTATCACCCAGGTTAAGTCATTAGTATTTTGCCATATTTGTCTTGTCTGTGTTTATATCATCAACCACAATACACATAAGCAAAGAACAGTGACTTGTCTGCATCTAATCTTCATTCTATGTTCAAATGTACCTAATTTTTAAAGATGCTCCTCCTGGCTGTGATTTCCTTCTCTTTTTAACAGTAGTCTATTAAATGATACTAACTGAAAGTGATGCTGTAGGCCATGTGGTTAAGACACAACTGAACAGCAGCTAACACAAGATCACCTCTCTCACTTAATAGTAAATAGTCTGGAGATGCACCAGCACAGAGCCTTTTAGGGGGATTTTCCATCCTTAACATGGGGCTCCCTCTGACAGAGAGATGGCCCTCCCCCTCTGCCATGATGGCATGCGGGAGGCATGGGGAACACACACTCCCAGAGCATGATCCATATCACGGGCACAATTTCCTCACACCTTCCATATATTCATTGCAGACACGGGGTCCTACCAGGCTGCAGCAGAGACTGAGAAAAAAAGGCTTTACTCTTGGTGGACATCTGTCTAGGTGTCCCTGGACCCATGGGTCTTGTGTCAAAGGACCAATATTTTAGAGGAGGTGATTAGCTATGTCTGCCTGAGATGTTCCTAGAATTGACCAGCTACAGTAAGTCCGCACCCTAGCACTGATGCTAGGTTCCTACAGATTGTGGGTACAAGTGAAATCAAGTTGAGACTAGGCTAACTGATGTAAACAAGAATTAAGGTATGATGGTTTATCTATAGTTATAAAAATATCACCAAACTTCTAAATAAAGACCTAGATCACTTCTAATCCTAAACAATCAGTTGTATTCATTTATTTTCCAATTTTTTCTTTTAGTTCAGGGCCCTAAGTGGCTGGATACCATTTGTCAGAATAAGGAGAGTTTTCCTAATGCTAATGTTCTAAACTTTGTTCATATGTGGGCATTGAATTTTATCAAGTTCTTTTCGTATCTATTGAGAAAGTTATACAAATTTTCACTTTATTAATTTTTATAGCTCAAACCAATCTTGCATTCCTGAAATAAACCTACTTTGTCTGATGCATTCTCCCCAAATAATTCATGTATAAAGAAGATATCACAATGAAAATTAGAATATATTTTGAGCTGAATGATAATGAAAATATAACATATGTCATGTCATAAACATGACATTCCGATAGTATTCTTTCAGAGTCTATCCTATATTATGATACACATCCTTGATTCATTAAATTCTAATATAAAATTATTATTTTTTCCAACTTACTGGACAATGCACAGAATTTAGACAATCATAACTTTATTGAAGCCCCTCCCAATGACTATGACTGTTGTGGGGAGACTGTATCTCCCCAAAAGATACACTGAGGTCCTAGTCCCTGAACCTGTAAATGTGACCTTTCGTGGAAAAAAGACCTTTGTGGGTGGCATCAAGTTAAGATGAGGTCATACTAGATCAGGATGGGTCCTTAGAAGAGGAGGGACATCTGGAGACTGATACACAGGAGCAAAGGCCATGTGAAGATGGAGGCAGAAATTACAGACAATGCAGCAACAAGGAACACCTGGAGTCACCAAAGGTGGAAAAGGCAAGAAAGGCTAATCCCCTAGAGCCTTCAGAGAGAGTGTACTGACACCTTGAATTCAGGCTTCTAGTCTCCTGAATACTGTGAGAATAAATTAAGCCCAGTTTGTGGTATTTTGTTACAGAAGACATGAGAAACTAATACAGTTGTTATGTATTTAATACAGTTGTTATGTATTTAAATTCTATATAATTCAATATCCTATGAAACAATACTAGTAAGTTATTAATAAGTAACTAGTGATGTTGTGTATAGTGAATATTAATTTATGTTCACCTATGTTCTGATTCTGCATTTTTTTCTTCATTTCTTCCTACATCTTTGAATATCTTTCTAGGATCATCTCCTTTCTTCTTAAGTACTTCCATAAGAATTT